AAGATCCATCTGACATTAGCTATAATATCCCTAGTTTCACGACCTCTTCTAAACCCAGCCTGCACTTCAGGCAATTCTCTGTTGATGTGCTGTTCTAGTAATTTTTGGAAAATTTGACCCAAATATGGGTCAAATTGGCCTTGGAGCTGTCTTCCAAATTTCTTAGAACTACACCATAGTTGGTCGTCCATCAATTCCTGGGACCTTATTCCAGCATGGACTTTTCCCTTCAGTACCATTGGTTCTTGATCATACACTCTTTCATGAAATGGTTCTCTATTGACAAATTCTTTTTGGTTATTTAATGTAAATTCCTTTCATCTTCTATCAGTACTTTCTGCATCATTCAATATTTTGTCCACAGAATCCTTCAGTATTGAAATACTTCAGTCTTTTCAACATTGAGAAATTCAAAAGGTCTTCCCCCCCACCCCCCAAGGGTCTTTTTTACCTTTTGATTTTCTAACTCCATTCAGATCTTGGTACATTTTTTTCTTTTAATTTTTGCTATGTCTTCTTGAGCTGAGAAAGTAAAAAGTGAAAAGGAAAGACGGAATAGATTAAAATAGATGTCAGACAAACTCTGAAATTTGCTTTTAAATGTAATATGCTAAAGCAGAAAGGAGTAGTGGTGAAATAAGAACTGAACTAATTTCACTAGGTTAAGGTTTGTTGTACTTAGTTAGATGTGTAAAATTATGCTGTTCATTAAATTTGGGAAATATCTGGTCATTGTTTGTCCTGAAATTTGTTCTGCTCCTTTGTCTTCTTACCGGCCTCCCATTAGGTGTTTATTGGTATTCTTGTTGGTGTTCCACAGGCTTTGTTGTTATTCTAGTTAATAAATGCCTTTGAGTTGACTACCACTCAAAGTGACCTTATGAGAAACAGTAACAGATCTGAATCTTGCCCTGTCCTGCAGCCCACCTGAAATAAAAGGTTCAAGTCAACAGTGGTGCCTCACTAATCTGGGGTGGTTTATTCAGATGAAGAACAAGATGGCATCTGAATTGGAGGAAAATGCATCAGCAACCTATGTCATGCAGAGGTCACAGCTTTACTTACAGAAAATGACTAAGATTTGAAGAGCTTACTGAAAAAAACAAAAAAGGAAGACTACAGTCTTCAGTATAAATTACACTTCACCATCAAGAAAGCAAAAATCCTCACTATTGGACCAATAGGCAACTTCATGATAGATGGAGGAAAGAGTGAAGTTGTCAAAGATTTCATTTCCCTTTATCCACAATCAGTACCCATGATAGCAGCAGTCAAGTTGTGTTAGCACTTGTGAGTTGGAGTTAGCAAAGTTGCCTTGATAACATCTAATAATTGCTGCTTTTATAGAGGGACAGAATTTGCTTTCTTTATTTTGAAGAATTCTGTACCTGTTAGCAGTTAATTTTTAATAGTGTTTCAGTAAATATCTATGTGTAGTTAAAATTTAAGTCTGGTAATCTAATTTATTGTTTAAGGACTTAGTGTAAACTAAGGCAAACAGTTGTGTTATTGTATATCTCAAATTTTGATAAAACTTACTGCTTTTGAAATTTTACCATAGACATGAGATACATATTGTATTGCTTCTGAAATTTTGCCATAGACATGAGATGTAAAACAATGTGTGTGTATTTCTGTTTTGCTCTATGTTGTTGTTGTTGTTGTTAAGTGCCATTGAGTCGTAGGTGGCTCATAGTGACCCTATGAACGAAAGACCTGAACACTTGTATAACTTTGGTCATTTCTCCATGTTCATAGAGTTTCCAGAGGCAAGCCATTTCAGAAGTGAATGCCACTCCTGCTTCCAAGCTTGTTTTAATTGGGAAGCTCCACCAAACACTGTCCACTAGGCCTAGCCATTATTGCATTTGGCACATCAGTGTCATAGTGTTTAGCATCACAGCAACTACGAGTTACCTCTGTACAGCAAGTGGACAGACCAGTGCTATACCACTTAGAAGAATGTTTGACAAAAAACAATTTAAACCAGGCCTGAGTGCCACAGATTAAAATTACTCACCTTTGGCTTGGTATCATAACTTTCTATCCACTACGCCAACATAGCTCTCTCTATGTTGCTCCTACAGGTGACTTTCAAAGTGGATTCCAGCCTTGTCTTGCTGACCAAAAAGGAGGCCGAATCACATGACCTCATTCCCCTTAGTGAATCAACATTTTACTCTAATGCTCACCAGTCCCAGCCAACAAGCTTCTGTAGAACCCGGCTCCTGCAGATGATTTTTAAACTGGATTCCAGCCCCGTACTGCCTACTAAAAGGGTTTTAAAATAAAGGCCGAGTCACATGCTCTCACTTCTCTTAGCAAATCAACATTCCCGTTTCACTCTATAGAGAAATAATTATTAATGATAAAAAGTAATAAAGTTCAGAAATCTCTTTTTACTGTTCAGTAAAGTGAGTCTTTTAAATTACTAAATAAGCATACAGAAAAATTCTACTTTCAGTAAACATGTATCTTTGTGTTTCAGAAAAAAGGATGCCACGCAGAAAGAAAAAAGTTAAGGAAGCTTCTGAATCTCAGAACTTGGAGAAGAGAGATGAAGAAACTAGCACGTCTGTCAGTTTGAGGAGGAAGCGTAAATTTGATGATGCATTCATTGTGATTTCGGATAGTGATGGAGAGGTCAGTATGCTGAAGTGTAGGACTCGATCTTAAAGCAGTACTCCTTAATCTGTGTGTGCTTGCTGTTTCAACTCTTCTTGGGTTTGATTTGTAAATGGAATTAATAGAGGAATAGTTAATGTTATTAGGCTTTGCAGATACTGCATTTGTTTATATATTGAAGATTTTGGCAAAGCTATGTCAGGCAGTTGGTTGGCTCTATTTTTCCAGCAGCATATGTTTACTTTGTATCTCTGTTAAATTTTGATGAAGCTCCCAATATTTAAGCTTTTTCATAATATCATTGCACATTTAATAGACTACAGGAAAATAAACCCATTGTCATTATTCTGATTGGTGACTTTTCATAAACTTTCTGAGGCTATAAATCTAAACTGGAGCAGATGATCTCATTTTTTTCCTTTGAAGATGGTAGATTTGATTTGCTTATTTTTCAGTTAGCAGTCCAACACATAATGCAGTACAACACTAGTACTACAGTAAATGCACTGGGAAACCAAAACATTTGTGTAACTTTTATTACTGTTGTTGTTAGGTACTGTTGAGTTGACTATGACCATAGCCACCTTATGAATGATGGATCTGAACCCTGCCTCCTTCTGTGCTAGAACTCATTCTTTTTTTTTTTTCTTCCATCTATCATGATACTGCTTGTTAGTCCAGTGATGAAGATTTTTGTTTTCTCTGTGTGTGTGTGTGTGTGTGTGTGTGTGTGTGTGTGTGTACCGTCAAATCAGATCTGACTGGTACAGGAGGAGATTGTCCCTTCTTTTCCCGGCAGAGCATCTGGTGGATTCGAACTGTGTGCCTCTGGGATTGTAATTGCAGCTCCTTGCCACTAGGCCACCAGAGCTCCCCTTAGAACTCATTCTTACAGTCACTGTATCAGTCTAATTAAGGGCCCACTTTTCCAAGCATGATGTCCTACTCTAGGAACTGGCTTCTCCTTAACAACATGTACAAGCAAGCACATTGCTGTCAAGTTCCCAATTCATAACAATCTTTTAGGCCAGAGTGGAACTGCTCCATAGCATTTCCAAGGCTAAATCTTTATGGGAGCAGATTGCAAAATCTTTCTCCTGTGGAACTGCTGGTAGGTTTGAACTGATGACCTTTTTGTCAGCACTTTAACCACTAAACAGAGAAAGAGATTGTAAGTGAACTTAAAGTCTCTAGATCTCTTTTGTCTAATATGGTACCAAGTATCATCTGTGCCTATTTAAGCTAATTAAAATGAAATAAAAAACCTATTTCTCTAGTGAACTATATGAACTATATAATGATATGAACTCTAGAACTACATGAGGCTGATGTCTAATGCACTGTATAGGCAGCCATAGAACATTTTTATTATTGTGGAAAGGTTTATTGGACAGTGCTGCTCTATTTTTTAACCTCTCTCCTTAATTCCTTACTTCTGTTTGTTTATTGTCATTTTCAATTTGACTCATCCAAAAAGCAGTATACTAACACATTGCTTCCTCCAAATTTCCTGTTCTTTCTCCGAAATCTTGTATGTCATTTAATAATAGAACATTCATGTGCCTAAAGTTAGAAAGAATTATCCTTGCCTCTCTTTTCACTCTCATTTTCTACTCCTAACAAGTCCTCATTTCTTATAGTTTATACTTTTAAATGATACTTAGATATATTCCTTTTTCTTCTATTTTCATTTGGAAATCGACTGTCTATTTGATATTTGGGCATTTACTGGCTTAAAAGTTTTAACTCTATAATCCATCCAAGATCAGTTTGTGGAGTTTATTATTGAAAATGGCTTTCTTAGCCACTGAATTTGACTTGGCTATGTGAATGGGCAGGAATATGTGAACAGAGAGTGGTGTTAGCCTCTCCACAAGGGGATTAGCTAGCCTTGCCATTAAATTGAGTGCATCTAGCAGTAGAGATAGTATCTCTACTGCTGCTGTTTTTGTTGTTATGTGCCATCAAGTCGTTTGCGACTCATAGTGACCCTATGTACAACAGCCCTTAAACCCTGCTCTATCCTGTGACAATCGCATGGCCTCTGACACACCCATCCCGATTACCCCAGTCACTGAATCAATCCACCTCATAGAGGATCTTC